CACACACACACTCTCTCTCTCTCTCTCTCTCTCTCTCTCCCATTGGCAGGTCAGCCCCAGCTTCTAGTGTGCAATGTGGTGTTTGCTTTCTCATGGCAGCACCCCCACTCTGGCTGGGATCCCATATTCTGGGAAATGTCTTGACAGCCGCAGCTATTTAACTGCGTGCTCCCCAAGCTCCATTGCGCTTCTCCGCATTACCAAGGATCCACTGGAAGGGTCTCGATATGGAGCGCTGCGCCCCATTGGAATGTTAGCCCCTCCTCCCATCTCATGCTTTCAGGGTCACCAGGCTCCAATCAGTTAGGGATGGGAAAGGCCAGGAGAGCGTGTGCCTTCAACGCGGGGGTTGAGACCATCCTCCCCTTCCCACACTGCCAATAGGAGGGGATCCCAGCAGGATCCTGGCTTGGAGACAGGGGGTCAGGGAATGGAAAAGGTGTGAATCACTGCATTAGAGCCATCAGAGCCATTTACTCTTTGGGGCAGGGACTGTCACTTTGTTCTGTGTCTGTACAGCGCCTAGCACCATGGGGCTCTAGTCTATGGCTGGGGCTCCTAGGTCCAATTGTAATACAAATAGATAATGATCATTAGAGCACTGAGCCCATCTCCCTGCAAGGACAGGGTACGGGCCCCAGAGCCGGGACATCACACTGATGTGCTGCTTCGCCTTTGGCTGTGCCTGCCTGTGTGGGAGGGGCAGTGGGAATGTCAGTAGCCGGCAGCTGGTGCCTCTTGGGGGTCTGAGCGCTCCTCCCTAGAGTGGGGGTCACCAGAGAACAGGGGCAGTTTGAGCCAGGACCCAGCCTGCTACTTGGGTCACAAGCAGTGGGGACCTTACTCTTCAAACAGCCTGGTTCTCCCCTTTACCCTCAGCCTGTGTAGCCAGGCACAGTGGTTCAACCCTCCCATTCCGTCCTGCTGTGCTGCCCACTAACAGGATGGCCGCATGTTCATGCCAGCTGGGGATGGAAAAGGCCTTGTGGGCCATCCCCAGTGAGGTTAGCACAAAGGCGGGGGCTATTCCCTGGGGCTTTGGCCAGCCTGTTGGAAATGTCCCAAGCGCAGGGGGGCTCCCAGTGCTTGCCTGGAGAGGGACACAGAAAGATCTCTCCTTTGGGAAGCTTTTTCCCCTGATGATCTGCCTGAAGACCCAATCCAGAGCCTGCTGAAGTCACTCGGAAGGCTCCCAACGAGTTCAAGGGGTGTTCGATCAAGCCCTAATTGCTCCTCTTGTTCAACTTTACCCCATTCCTATTAGTCAGACCATGCTAAAGTTCCCCATCCCCCCACCCCAGCCTTGCTGTTTTCTGCCTGTGAATTGTGCCAGCAGACGGCTCTCTTGACTTTCCATAGTTAGCAGCTAGCCAAGCTAAGCAACTCTACGTATTTAGTGCCTCTGGCTGCCATATCTCAATGCAAGCACCTATCCATCCCTGAGCCCTTCAAGACTTTGGAGAAGGACCCAGATCTGACAATGCCCACACTTGGGTTGAGTTGTGATCTGGAGCCAGGCTCTGCAGTCTAGGCCCATTTCTAGCTGGAGGAGTTAATCAGTTGAGCTTTACACAAAGTCGCGATAGCCCGAGTTGGGGTTTCGTTACGGACTCATAGCTTGGGCCAGGTTCACATGAACCTGGGGCCGGTGCTTTGCTTTTCTGACACCCTGGGATGCTTGTGGTTCCCACCTCAAAATCCAATGAAACTCTGCTATTTCAGCGGGACTTCCATTTGAGTTTCTGCCATTTATTCCACCCTGAAGTTCAAAGCTAAACCCAGGGTGCGTGGCCTCCCACAAACACTTTCCTGTGTTAACTGACATCTTTCCTCAGCCAGCGGTTACAGCGCCCAACGATACTTGCCTGGGGTGATCACAATAACAGATGGGCCTTGGACTAGCTGCAGTGCAAACGCTCTGCTTTCAGAAGTTTGTGCCTGTGACTAGTGATTTGGGGTACCTCACTTGTTAGCTTCCCAACTTGAAGTGCCTGAATGGGCTGTGATGTTCAGACAATGCTGAGCATCCCGCTCTGCAAGTCGGGCCCCCTGTAGGGTGTCTAGTCACTTCTGGAAATGTGCAGGCCTTTGATCAAAGTGACATCTGGACACGGTGGCTACCGGAGCCCTATAGATACCTGAGGTGAATGAAAGAACTTTAGTTGAGCAGAGAATGAGATTAGTTCATGACTGCACCAAGTGGAAAGCCCTACTGCTGCTTTTGGGTTCACGCACCCACTCCTGAAGCCTGTTGGAGGGAGATGGCTGGAATGGCATAATGATCTCCTGGGTGGGTTTGAACCTGTGAGCTACAGTACTGCAGCACAGACTAATATCACATCAGCTAAAGGAGTAGCTCTGTGAGCTGGCACCAGTAGTAGGCTATTATCCTGTCATGGACTAGCCATCAGAGGGGGAAGAGGCACTCACTTGGCCAGTGTGTTACCATAGGGTCCCTTCATGGGAGGAGTTCAATCCCTGCTTGTTTTCCCTCTCAGATCATCCTGAATTTCACGTCCCTGGATCTGTACCGAAGCCGGCTGTGCTGGTATGATTACGTGGAGGTGAGAGACGGGTTCTGGAGAAAGGCCACACAGCGAGGTAACCAACAGGAATCTTGGACGGGTGGGCCAAGCTATGCTGTGCTGCTGGAAGTCAGCCCCTCTAATGACCCCTTCCTCCACCATTAACTCCCAGCTCTAGTGATGCTCTCCCTCCCCGCATTCCCCGCCTTCTCTGCTTTATTTGCTTGTGGCAAGGAACTTTCCGCAGCGATGCTGACCGATCCACATGCTGTCAGCCAGAGTAGGCAGAATAACCAGTGTCTTGGGCCTGGTTTTCCTCTCACTCACCCCATTGGTTTAAATGGGGTTAATCCCAATTTACATGAGTGTGAGATCAGAAACTCACCCACAGAATCATAGGGATATAACGCTGGAAGGGACATAAGAACGGCCACACTGAGCCAGACCAAAAGTCCATCTAGCCCAGTATCCTGTCTTCCAACAGGGCCAATGCCAGGTGCCCCAGAGGGAATGTACAGAACAGCTAAACATCAAGTGATCCATCCCCTGTCGCTCATTCCCAGCTTCTGGCAAACAGAGATTAGGGACACCATCCCTGCCCATCCTGGATAATAGCCATTGATGGACCTATCCTCCATGAACTTATCTAGTTCTTTTTTAAACCGTTATAGTCTTGGCCTTCGTAAGATCCTCTGGCAAGAAGTTCCATAGGTTGACTGTGTATTGTGTGACGAAATACTTCATTTTGTTGGTTTTAAACCTGCTGCCTATTAAACATCAAGGAATCATCTAGTCCAGTGTTTCATAAACGACTGGTCTGGGGACTGGCGTCAGTCCCTGAGATCTCCCTGACATAGTTTAGGAAGGCAGCAAGCTGGTCCCTGGTATCAAAAAGGTTGAGAAACACTAACTAGTCCATCCCCTAGTGCCGAGGCAGGATTAAGTCTACCTAGATCACCCCAGATAGGTGTTTGTCTAGCCTGTTCTTATAAACATCCAATGACGGTGATTCACTCCCCCATGTTCACCCACATCTTCCAAGTGCTTTGCAAATGAAGCTAGTGCAACTCCCTCAACCTCAGTGGAATGACCTCTGCATGCGTGAGCGCTGCATGTGACCATTAGCAGATTAACCTAATCCGCATGGCCCATCTGGCAGGCAGGCGAGTCAGTCACCCCATTCTGGGAAACAGAGGCACTGAGAGACATGATGGGCCAGATTTTCCAAAGATCTCAGCCCTCCCTCAGCGACACTCTTTTGAAAAATCTGGCCCTTGAAGACTCGCCGAGGGTCACACAGCGAGTCAATGCTGGGAGCAGAACCCAGGAGTTACTTGATTGCTAGTCCCCGGCTCGACCACTAGCCCACGTTGCCTTTTAAAAATGGCTGATTCAGACTTACGGCTGTACAAGCCATTTTCAACCAACCAGCGTAGGGGCCTGCAGAATTCCTTACCCAGGGGCAAAAGGGGAGGACCTTCTTGGTAACTCGCTCTAGCCCTAGAACTTGATCTCTATGACAATGATGACATAAATGTTCCCCAAAATTCCACATCCTCACATTCTGGGCCACTTCTCTCTCTCTCTCT